AATACTCTCCCTGTCCTTTATTCTTTAAAGTCCAACTTCTACTTCCATAAAATACCATGTATAATTTATTGTAGGTATAGACACATCATGGCATTTGAATATAATTTCCAGGGCTTTCATGGCTGTTCTACCAAGTGCTAATCTGCAGCGTATTTATTGACTGGTCTAATTTATATTTAATTTTCATCCCATTGCACACACGCGCGCGCACGCACACACACACACACACACACACACACACACACACACACAGTGGTCCTTGACTTCTAGGATTTGCCGATCCTTTGTATTTTTGACTATTAGAAAGTGTCATTAATGTAATGCCGGTTATTGATGTTTCTTTGTCCAATTTTAAAACTATGTTCATCTTCTTCCAATCTAGCTTCCCTTAATATATATTGCATATAGATTGAATAAAAAAGAGGAGAGTCTGTTCCACTTGTTGTGTTTCTTTGCCAACCTGGAGCCTGTCTGTTTTGCCATGCTGTTTATGTATTGTGGGTTCCTGACCTGTTTATAAGTTTCTCTTGATGTTCTGGGATTTTCATTTTTCTGCGCACTTCTCACAACTTGATATGATCAATACAATTGAAGGCTCTTTTGTAATAAATGAAGCATTCTGCATTCACCCAGTTGTATACATTCTATTTTTAATAATACTTATTAGTTAACACTGAGTGGCCTTGAACTGGTGATAAACTGAAGTTCTTCTATAGAATTATTCAAACTAGAGTATTTTGATTTACAAATCTAAAAAGTATGTACTGTGAAAAGGTCTAATATTTGGCTATTGTTTCCCCTTTAGACTAATTTAACCCCATAGAATGTTTTTTCCCCCCAAATATCAAAGAAATGTAAATTTCAGTAACTCTTTTGTTTTTGCTTTGCTTTTGCAGCGATGCTTCACTTTTATGGATAGAGGTTTCATATTCAAGCAAATTAACAACTATATCAGCTTCTTTGCTCCAGGAGATCCAAAGGTACTATACTACAAAAATAATTCCTGAATTGAGAGATAATGATAGAATTTTCTTATTATGTTTAGGGATATTTAGATATATGAACTTTCAATGGGGTTGTTTTTTGTAAATTCAAGGAAGACTGTTATTGTATCCTTCTTAGAACCCCAGTCTAATGAGATTGCAGTCATTCTTGTCTATAGGTAGTCCTCGACTTACAACAGTTAGTTTAGTAACCATTCGAATAATGGCACTGAAAAAAGTGACATGACCATTTTTCACCCTTATGACTATATCACATTTAATTAATTGGACTGTTAGGGGTTAAAGTATAATAAATGAGACTAAATTGTGGCATGCTAGTTCTGCAAAATTGCCTTGATCCTTTTTCTAATGCTCGATACAATTGATATAATCCACACCTTAAAGTTGATTTTAAAAACCTGATATATGGAAGATTTTAACTGATGATGGGATTTTTAGTTTAAATCAGTTATTAGACGATGAGGCTTTTTTCATTTTCTGTGTTAGAAGATAAATATCATTTTATATTGCCATCCACTGGCAGTATATAAAATTGCAAAGTCTATTCATAACTTGATTTGAACCAGTTTCAGAAATTATTAGAGGCTGCTGTTGGTACATAATCTATGCAACTGCAGCAGAAAGAGAAAATGAATCAAGAATGGGCAAATAATCCATAATTATTATTTTTATATGCAGGCCTCTACAGCCATACAATTCTTTAAGAGTACAGTATATATATTGGACATATAGCCATTGCTTTGCTAATATCTAGGATATTGAGCCAATGATGTAAACATTTATTTCCTTGCCTTTTTTGATTAATATCTAGTGGATCATAACTTATAACACAATATTTTGTAAAAATATGTTTTACAGGCTCTTTTTGAATTCAAATTTGAATTTCTCCGAGCAGTATGCAATCACGAACACTATATTCCTTTAAATCTTCCTATGCCATTTGGAACAGGCAGGATTCAGAGATATCAAGGTAAATTTATATTTGATGTAGCTAAATTGAGATTTCTAAAAGAGTAAAGATTATCTTTAAAAAATCCTTCATATCCTAAGAATTATATATTGAAATTCTGTCCACTAATAAATATAATAAATTCTTCTTCCTGTTTCAGTTCTGTAGGTAGTACAATGATAAAGTAAAAATTCATAGGTAATTTAATATGTAATTCAGTTTCTTACTTTCTTTGTTAGGCATGAGGGGAGTGAACAACAATATGCTAGTTTTTGTCTATCTTTGCTTCTTTTTTTCTTTGAATTAGCTTTCCTTACAGTGGAGTCGTATGATATTCCTGGAGGTAGGTGTGAAGTGTGTTTCCCAAGCATAAACCTTGATTTTAGAAATGATAATAATGTATATAGAAAAGCAAATGCGAGAATTTCATGTTTGAATCATGCTAGAGTTTATTGAAAGAAACATTTAAAACATGACATATCGGCCTTCCCTTGAAACAAAATGAAAATGTATAAATGTATCACAATAAACCGGGAAAAAAATAAAATGCATGTCGTTCTTTATTGTAGCATTTGCTAGGGAACCTAGAAGTCAGGGATAACACAGGGTGTGGTCAAAAAATTCAACATGACAGCCAGTATGGTATAATTTAAGTTCCACCCATCTTTTACAAGTTTCACATATGCAACCATATTTGATGGACTAGTAATTAGTTAGTAGTAGTAGACCAGCTAGTAGTAGTTCCACTTTTTTTATTACATCTGGTTTTGATAGAGCTGGTTCTGCAGAAGTGCACAAATAATTCTCTCTGATCCAATGTACTTCAAGCCTATGTATCTTAACAGTTTCTTGTGCTGCATTGGGAAACTTTAAAACTATTAGTTTATTTCCACTTTGGCACCGCCAGTTCTGAAGAGATATTCAAACTTCAGCTATTTGTAAATATATATTTATCTGCGAACACCTAGCTTTTTCGGATGCTGATATTCCTGGTTTCTAGTACAGCAATAGCACTTGGATTTATATACCGCTTCAAAGTGCCTTTACAGCCCTCTCTAAGCAGCTTATAGAGTCAGCATATTGTCCCCAACAATATACTGATCTCGGAAGGATGGAAGGTTGAGTCAACCTTATGCTGGTGAGGATATATGCAAGTGGTATAACTGGCACACAATGCCAAGTTGAGGAAAGAGCCTCCTAGCCACAACTATCATCTGCTGTTTGAGCAGAAGAACACCTCCAGATTACGTACTGGGTGTATCTAGGGCAATGGTGGTGAACCTATGGCACGTGTGCAAGAGGTGGCACGCAGAGCCCTCTCTGTGGGCACACACGCCGTTACCCCAGCTCTGTTTCAGGTTTCTTCTGTGCATGCGTGCGCACCTCCCGCTGGCCAGCTAGTCTTCGGGTCTCTGCCACACATCCGCAAAGCATGCACGGAGGTGGGGGTGTGCTAGCGTGAGCAGGTGTATGCCCCTGCACCTTGCATGGGGTGATCATGCATGCGTGGGGTGCACAAGCACTTTGCCTGCACCTTGCAGTTTGGGCATGTGCACACACTTTGGCCACTCGGTGCCTAAAAGGTTTGCCATCACTAGTTTAGGATAGTGCAACTCCATCCAAGACCAAAGATGCTAAACTCCCAGATGCAACGACACTCCCCCCCCTCCCCACAGACAATTCCTCTTACAAAGATTCACCTACAGTTATTTAATCTTACCAGGGTCATATGAAAATTATTATATTTCCGGTTTGCTCTTTCTCTAAAATTATGTCATTTTTTAAATGGGCTGTATGTGTATGTGTCTGTGTCTGTGTTTGTAGGCATTGATGAATTTATTGTGAATGATTTTTCAGTCTTCTTCTTTGTACCCCTTCAGCCTTTCTGGACTCATCTAAGAGGAAGATCAGCATAGAAATAAAATAAAATTTTGTAATACTTGATTTCAGATCTTCAGCTGGACTACTCCTTATCGGATGACTTCTGCAAGCATCACTTTTTGGTGGGACTGCTTCTCAGAGAGGTGGGAAATGCATTGCAAGAATTCAGAGAGATTCGACAAATTGCAATCGGAGTTTTGAAGAATCTAATGATAAAACATTCTTTTGATGACAGATACGCATTAAAGGTAAGCAGATTGCCAAAATGTTTACTTTGTAAAGTTAATTATTAATATCTTTATGTACAGAAGATTATATTACATTGAGAATTCACATAAATTTTTACAGATTATCTAATTCCAGGACTCCACGTACTGTTGTGCTCTAATGGCAAAGATATTCTAGGCACTATTGGCTTCTCCACTCACTATATAAAGCAGTGGTCCCCAACCTTTTTATCGCCGCGGACCAGTCAGCCTTTGATAATTTTACCGTGGCCCGCTGAGCGCGTCGATGACCAG